ACAAACGTAGTTTCTCGTGGATAAACAGTACAGTATATGGAAGTCCTCCGAAGAAGATTGCTCAGCGGGAGAGAAAGAGGAGGAGAAAGTTTGTCCTCGTAACGCGTCGTGTCGTCCTTCGGAGGCGCTCAACGCGTTAATATTTTACAGCGAGGCTGGCGTGGACCACGGTGGAAATGACATGCGTATGGCGGCCATAATATCATTGCACATGGGGCAATAGACCGAGACACGATGGGGCGGATCCGACGTGGAATTAATCACCGCAAAGACCGTACACGGTATATACTACGCACCGAGTCTGTCGTAACTGACGAGGACCTTTAACGATTCCACTTACTGCGTATTCCGCAAAACCCGACCCGATACCCTTCTCCTATCGCCACCGTACTCTTTCGCTACTCTCGTCGACGAGTGCACCTGGGTCAACTCACACCAGGGATGTCACCGCGCCATCGTCGTAACGCGTTTCCCCGTCGGCGAGCTCTATATTTTCTCGTTCATTGGTATTACGATGTCCGATGCGTCGCCCGGGTGCTTCACGGCGTGCCTGCGGAACTCAGGCTCGTTCGGCTTTAGCCGTTCCGGCGCGCGGCGCATTTGGGCGCGCGTGTGTAAAATTGGATAACGCTCGTACACGGACGATAAACGGGTTACCGGTTGCGGCGCGCTGTAAAATTGCGAATCTTCGTCGTGCCAGGGAGATTGAGGCGGCGGTGCATCAGGGTGCCGTGCGCGCGCGCGATACAGGCCGAGTTGTAATTGCGCGTTGTCGGCAGAATGTAGAGCGAGCTCGCGTTAATAGCGGCCGAGCACAGGCATGATTTATATCGGCGGCCTATTTAAGCGGCGATTAGCGCTTCGCTGCGGAGTTACGCGCGCCGGTGTCGTTCGCTTTAACAAGCTTAAACTTAAATTACCGTATTAATCGCGCAACATCGCGGACCTGGCCGGGTGCCGCTGGTAACAACCATCTGAGCGACCGTTCGAACGTGCGGCACACTGTTACGTCCATGACGGCGTCAAGATCACGAACGTAACGTTAATAGTAGGGAATGAAAACAGTTCAGGATTGGACAGTGGACTTCATTTTTGGGCCTCTGCTATAATAGGGTGTCGCCCTCAAGAACTAGACAAGAGCTTGACTGTTAGACTGACGGACGCGAACGGACTGCTCATACAGCACAAATGTCCACATTACATCCCAGAAACGTTCCAGGAATGTATATTTCTGGAATGTCTCTAAGGTGTATTTTGGACATTTGTTTGAGACTAGGTTTGAGACTAACGATCGAATTATCGGGAAGTAAACAAAGCTTTAAAGTTACGGAATTTTAAGGTTGAGGTTATATGATGAAAATGTTAGAGGGAATGTGATGCGTTGCGATACGTAACAGCGCGCGATCATCGCAAATGTGTCACCGGGGTCATCTCTCGTCATCTGTATCAGCGAAATCTTCCATCCGCGTTTCCCCTTCCCACTACATGTGCGCGCACCCGCGTTCAAGGGAGACAATCGATCCGACATCTTGCCGGCAAATTTGCTCGAGTTGCAATGTCAAACCGTGGACACGTGCCACCGCGTGTGCGCCGCATACACGCGTCGGAGAGCAAGGAAATTTCTCGAGGATGAACGGCTGGGATAACAGAGGGAAGAGATCCCGACAGGATCCCAAGGGATACGGCGAAGCGTTCACGAGTGTACCGGAAAGGTCGGGCCCTTTGTAGGCTCGCGCGCGATCGTAAATTCCGCGAAACGACGGTACGTCTAGCCAAATTATACATCTCGTAAAGTATTCTCGCCCGGTAGCCAACCCGAAAGTATTTCGTGTAATATCCTCCCTTCTTCCTGTTCGCCCCGTTCCACTGTCCGTTTTCTCCCTTGTCCGTTCGCACACCGCTCGTTCTGCAGGGAGCAGGTAAGGGTAAAGGACCGCGATTGTAGCGACGAAATGAAAGCAAATAAATATGACGGCAGTTTGCTGAAGAAAAAAGGACCGCGCTCCGATATGCTTGTATATATGCAGGGTGTCTGGCGCAACGGGCATGTCCTTTTGTGCGCAGATGGAATTCGTCAAACTGAACGAAAAAAGTTCTCTACACCACTTTACAAACAACCACGTGAATTTTCGAGATATTAACACGTTCGCTACCACGATTAATTTAAAGGACTTTTCCCATAACTCACGTTGTATAATTTTTTTCTATGTCGTTCTGTAAAACAGATTTAGTTTGGTAACATGGACAAGGAAATAAAAAATTTTTGTTCGTCACACATACGTGACGCTGGCCTATTAAGAAATTTTCTGGCCTATAATAAGAGCATAAAAATTAATCAGGGCGGCCTCTGCAGTATATAAAGATGACGTGGCATGAAAGGAATATTTTTGAATAAAATAGTAAATAAATTAAAAGACTATTTTAATCTATTGGTTATTTTAAAAACGATAGTTATTCGAATAATCGGCAGTGTAATATATAAGAATATAACGGCAGATGTTGTCACTACAACTCATCTACCATATCTCGCGTAATCATTCACAAATCTTCTTTAATTAATATCTCGATAATTATTGCAAATATCGCAAAATGGTATAGGATTTTTATGTTCATCTTAATCTGTACTATGCCTCCACGAAAGCTCCGAAGTTCTGGGACACCCTGTATATCTGTGTAGAACCTAAGTGGACTTGTCTTCATATTGTCTTAATAAAAGTAGGGAAAAATGCCTTTTTTAACCCTCGTGTTAAATTACTATCATTTGTATCACACATATGACGTTAATAGCAAACATGTTAACGATAGAAAATTAATAAGTGAGTGCGTGTAATGCAGTGGGATGAGCTCTTTAGTCTCGTCTAGAATAGAGGGTCTTATCTAAGATGTCTGAATCAGTTGGCGATCTCTTCCATCCAGCATGATGTACCGCCCACCATTACCAAGAGATTGCGAATTGATTCAGGCATCATTAGATGAAACTCCATCTTGGACAAGCCTGAAGAGCTCGTTCCATCGCATTCATATTTATTGAGCCAATTTTCAATAATCAATATCTCAAAATTTCACATGGCTGTGTACAAAATAATAGAGAACATTTTTGTTCAGTTTGACAGGTTCCACCTGTACATACACACACATACACACACACACACGAGAGAGAATCTTTGCGCATTGTGCCGAACGCCCTGTATGTCATGAAAGCGGCAGGGGTATACATGAGCAAAAACAATATTTTAGTATGCTAAAATTATCGAACATTCTCTTCATTCAAAAGCGGTAACCACAGCTTTTGTTCACGTCGCTGCTATTTCCGCGTCGGTGGTAGGAAACGAAAGTGCAACGTGTGAAGGAAAGGGAAAGAGGGAGGAAGAGAACGTCGTGTTTAATTAGCGTTCTTTCATTAGTTGCAGAGGAAAAGGGAAACTTACGGTCGAGTTACACCGCCACGTATGAGAGAAGTCCATAGAAACGCGGCTTTTATAACGACTGGTTACCACTAATTAATTCTATATAGTGAAGAGAGATTGATTGCTGCATTGTTGCTCGCAACAGCTTCGAGAAACGCGTCTCTGTAATTAAGGCAACTGCTCGCAAACGTAGGAAGCGCGTCCCGCGCTCTTGTACACGTATAAAAGTATAAATCACCGACGAGAATAACGCGCGCGTGTATGTGTGTGTGTGTGCATGTGTGTGCTCCGTAATCCCATCGTGAACGAGATCTACACGACGACGCGTCGAGAGAGAATCACATCGCGCGGCCATTTCCATTTTCTATCTACGTGAAACGTCAGGACACGTCCGTTCCTTGCGAGACGTAATAGATACGCTGGCCGGCCATCCTTGGACAGCGGAATCGGATTTACCGGACATGTTCAGCGGCTCGCAAAATCGGATCGTATATTAGAAAATTTTTCGTGGACGCGTTCGCCGAATCGCAATTCGTGTTTTGATACCTATATCGCGATAGGACAGGCTTACACAGGATGGCGAAGAAGAAAATGAGTTGAAAAGCCGCGAGTGGATTAAAGCCACTGGTGAGCATCGTTTGTCGCGGTGTGTATATCTCCCGTCTTCGGCGAAATCAACGGGGAGATTTTTCGAGTTTGTACCGAAAAGTTGCACCGAGCATCAGTTCATCTGAGATTCTTTTGACGGCGGGACTCAGCGGGCGAGTCGGCGCGAATCTGTTGCGAGCGAGTCAGCAATTGGAGTAGAAAAGTTGGACGAACGAGACTCTCCCGGTTTAACCCGAGAACGAATCGAAAATCTTTCTCCGACCGGGAGTCGACTGGCGCTTCCGAACTTCGAGATGTAGCACAACTAGGACCGGCTATGCAGAAAGACATTTTAACTTGAGTATTTGTGGCAAATAAAAGAGAAATTCTCTTCTCCCCCTCCCTCTATGAGCAGATGCTCCGATATCTCGCTTGCTGCTTCTCCCATGGGACGGTCTCTCATTACGGGGAATATAGCTGTATTACGTGTACGGAGAATATTAGATTAATATTGCATCTACAAATATGCGCAACGTGTATATATGCTGAACACGTACTTTTTCTCTCCGCGCTCATTACGTCGCAGAGAATCGATTAAGTATTCGCGCCCGTTCTTCATTATCTCCGGTTATTTTTACACCTTTATATCAGCTCTCCCTCTGGGCGAGAATAATCGAGCGAATTCCCGATTGGAGCTGAGAAAACATTCTTCTCGCGGAGGCGCGAGAACAAACAATCGTAATAGCATTGCCGCTTAAATGTTTTCAACTGTTGGCAACACCGGGCGAGAGGTGAATCCCGCCTGAATCAGATCAAAGGATAAAGTCGTCTTGTTTCCATTGTCATCCAACACTTTGATCTCACGTATACAGGATACGTTACTCCTCAACGAGGGACAATGGTATAAAGTTTCCAGTCGTTCTCAATCGCCGCGAGTTTTGAAACATTGTAATAGGATTCCTCGTCGCGACTCGCGTAACATAAAGGATTTATATAGATACTCACCTGACGTGGAAACAGGGATGAAAAGCAGCCGGATTATCCTGCGCGGAGAAGTTCGGCAAAGTACCATGAAGCAGAGCGAGCCGCACCACAAGAAGTATGCCAAACTGCAAACATTAAACGGTCGATGAATTTTCACATTGTTACGGAGAAATATTTCACTTTTTGAGTTTTCGAGCAGCGGAAACATTGAAGCGCTCCGTAACAACGTTACGTGCTGACTCGAAAGCTCTCGTTATTCTTACGTCAACGTTTCTTTTAATATTCGCAATGTTACTAAGAGACTTACGTTATCACACTCTCTTCAAGTTTAAATCTTTCTGATTGAATCAGCAGAAAAAGTATCTAATTACTACGTGCGATAATCAGTGAGTATTCAACCAAATGTACTTAATATTTGTAGCACACAAATTCGTTACACGCTGTACAGTCCCAGAAAATTGTATTTGATGTAATCGGTTGCAAATCGGTTTGCACACTTTTTATCGAATGAAGCCTCAACGCTTCGACGCTATCAGAATTGAAAGCCACTGCTGACATTTATGCGCACAATAGTCAGTTATAAATATGTAAAAATTATTATAAAATAATTATAAAATTATTATAAAATTATTATAAAAATGATAAAATGTATAAATATCTCTCTCAAAATGATGTTTTCTCAATTTAATTTATTAACTGAATTTCTCAATTAAAAAAAATGTTCTTTTGTCGACCGTAATTTATAATAATTGTTTCTCTATGTGATTGTAATTACATATGACAAACATTTATTTCCAATGTACTTACACAACTCAGCGGTTACAAGTATAGCATTTCAAGGAATAATATACTGATTCTGCTTGAGAGAGAGAAAGAGAAAGAGCGAGAGAGAACAGATATAAAATACTTATTACGCATATATCTATATGTGCATACGTATACGGATAGTATAAAAACTGAAGTATCTCTTATTTGAAATGCGCTCGCATTGCATTTGTCTAAATCCACAACTCTTACGTTTTGTATTGGCAGTACTGTAGCGATTGGCTTTCGCCTCCCGCATACTGTTGCCGCGTTCTTTGACAATTTTACAAGATAAAAGGAGAGCGAAATAAAACAGCAATTGCGGGGAAGCAAATCCGTGCTGCGATTTCAAGCAGCTCCTTGAAACGCGGCTCATTGATTCGCTGTACCGAGCGCACGGTAGAGAGACATAAGAATTTCACGCAGGTGCACCGAGACCGTTAGAATTTCCGGAGAAGTGGTGGAATAAATCGAAGCGAAGCCAATGACGCAAGAAGCGAAGCGAAACGGCACAGACAGAATTTCGCTCATGTGTCCGCCGTGTCACGCGTCCCGCCGATACGATTTGCTATACCTCCGGACTCGTCGCCGTCTGTACGCGCGACCTACATCAGGTACAACATGATGAAGCTAATAATATAGGACTGGATGACGCTACTAATCGGCGACAAATGGTAAGGTGCGCGCCGGTCACGTTTTCCCGAGTGGTTTAATTAAGACGCGGTTCGCGGCGCTGAATAGCAAAGAACGAAACCGCCGCCCCGGTACTCGCCATCGTCCGTGATCTCTCGGCCGCGTCGACGCGACGTCGTCACGTTCCCGTAGAGGATGACACGGGACCGTCCTCACATTTCCGTCACGTTCTCCGCTAACCCAATAGACGTCCGTACCATCCCTCCGATAGACCACTCTCAACCCCTTATTCCGGAGTTATCCGCCGTCTCGCTGGCCCTCTCACTGTCTCTCCGCCTTTGTACCTATACGTCGTTGGGACCTCGCTCCCTCGCATTCTTGTCGACGGACGGACACGGCAGTGAGTGCCTCTGGAAGCGGACAATATCTGCCAATTCGAGGTATTCATATCCTACCGGATCGAAGTCGACGGACAAGGGTAGCGTCCATCCTAAGCAGTGTCTCGTACGGACACGCCGGCGTATACATCCGGTCGTTGTAGTCGTCGAAACGCCGGCAATGTACACCTCGACGTCCGACACCAATGCCGACCTTGTTCCTCGACGATAAACAGAGAAGGCGAAAACTAGAGCGAGAGAGGGAGAAAGAGAGAAAGAGAGAGAGAGAGAGAGAGAGAGAGAGAGAGAGAGAGAGAGAGAGAGAGAGAGAGA